AAACCTGCACACTAAACCCTAAAACCCTCAACCTTAACTTCTAAACCCTCAAACCCTAAACCTTAAAACCGTGAACCTTAACCCTAAACCCTAAAATCATAAACCTAAAAACCACAAACCTTAAGGAGTATGTTCCATTTTGTTTTCCATTATCCCTATATACCCCTACATAGCCCCTAAATTACCCCGATGGTACCCCCAGCTTTGGGAACCCTACACCCTATATGCCCCTATATAACCGCTGTTCGTTTCATTTTCGATTTTTTCCATGTGATTCTCCATTCAACCTTTAAGCCCTAAACCCCTAAACTCTAAACCCTATATATCCTTCTATATAAACCCTGTATAACCCCTATAAAGCCCTAAAACCCAAATATCCCTGTAAAAGCCTTATAGAATCCCTTTGAAACCCTACACCCCATATATCCCTGTAAAAGTCCTGTAAAATCTCTATAAAACCCAATACCCTGTATATCCCTACATAAGCCTTGTGTAATCTCTATAAAACCCTAAACCCTATACATCCCTATAAAAACCTTGTATAAACTCTACAAGACCCTTTTCAAAACATCCCCAAAAAACCCTGTATAATCTCAAGAATATCCCTAAACCCTGTATATCCTTCTTTATAAACCCTGTATAATCCCATACTAAAGTTTCAGGCCCTGGCCCAGCCGCTTACCCTGCCGGGCACGGCGTCGGCAGCGGGCCGCCAGCACCCATGCGGCCGTTTCCGGGCGCCTTTTCCTTCCGAGCCGCGGAAGATACAGGGGTTTCCGAAAATTCAGGATGTTAGTAAGGGGGATATAGGGGTTCTACAGGGATGTCTACGGTTTAGGGTGTAGGGATTCCAAATTTTGGGATGCTTATGAGGATTACAGTATGTTTTCTTGGAGCTGCCAATCTAATTCATCCGCGACCAGCTTAGGGGTTTGAAGGAATGAGGGTTTCGAGATGGAGCTTCCTCACCGCAGAAGAAATTGAGGGTTGCTTTGGTAAAAGAACTTGCAATACTTAGCATGGCCATTTCTGTACTAATTTGTCGTCATGTATAGTCCCGCAAAATTCTGTAGACATGGCAATAGCCGTGCCTTATCCTTGGAGCGCCCTCATGCTCAGCTACGGGTGAAGCATAGGGTATGTTGCGGCCTGCAGGGCTTAGGGTTCGCAGTGTAAGGTTTACAAGACTAAGAGAGAACTGGATTCTCACCCTTCACCACAACATCTCCTCCTGCGCCCTGCTAGTACAAGAAAAGTCTAAACAGAATGCCATTCATAAGTAGGAGGTGGGCTTCTGCTATGAGCAGGGGATTAGATGAGATTCCAAGCCTGGAAGTTTCTCCTATGACTCTTCCCAAGTAGTCAGACTGCGGTGTTGAACGCATCCTTAACGCGCTCATGAAAAGCACCTAATCATGGATTGAACAACCTCCTGACACTTCCCTCCACGAGCCACTCCCACCCCCAAGACCCTAAGACCTACCGACACGTGCTTCAAAGGTTCTCTTCTTTAATCCACTGTAAAACACCCTGTAGAGAACTCAATAATCCCTCTCTCAAGCCGCATGTAGTCCCCAAAGTCATTATGAGAACTGGACAATAGGACCAGTCCGAGTTGTGACCATCACCGAGGAAAGCGCACGGGGGGCACTATCCTCCTACCGCCAACGCCGCGCGATGCCGCTAGTCTGGTTCAGGGTTTAGGGTGAACGAATGCCTTGAAACATGGCAGTTTTTATTGATAGAGGAACCGTCCATATCGATCTCATCATATTCTAATCTTTTTAGGGGACACCCAAAAGGTCCCCTGATTTTGGAAAGCTCCTACTCTCTGTTTGCGATCCACACAAAACCGGGACCGGTAGATTTCAACAAATGCGTTTGGGGCCTTTCGTCTACTCTAGGCACACAGAAGGGCGAGATTTTCATGTGTATGCGGCTTACACTTCAAGTTTGCCTCCTATGTAGCGCAATGATTGTTTGCCAGGGT